CCTGTAGCAGTGACAGGACGTGGCATTGGTGGTTCAGTGGTAGATGCAGGAGACGCAGGTCCAGTTCCCGGCCAACGCGCTGCTACTTTTTAACAGAATCTGGTAAAGGAAAAAAGTGTGCAAATTTACACACTCAGCCGTACTGGAACTCATTTCACTGCACTGTGTTGAACATGCCAGTTCTTGATGCATGCAATCTCAAAATTACATATTTGGGTCAAGAGCTGACAGACAAAAAGGTGAGAACCCACAAGTCTATGTCTGGTTTCACATTGTTTAAAGTCTGAAGGTCTGGGATTAGTCACTCTGCTTTCATAGTGCCACCAAGTGACTCAGTGCGATTCTCCTCACTGAGACGTGCACATAATTCAGTTTCAGATCGATCTATAAAAGCATTGAAAGCTTTGAAGTATTAATAATCTTGATTTCATCTCAAGTGATCAGTACAGTCGATGACATTCGTCCTCTGGTGACCGTGAATGTAGAAAAGTTAGAGGCTTGTTTTCACATCCTCTTTTGTTTAAAGCAGTAGGTCTGAGAGCGGTCCCCAAAATAACTGTGCTTCTGTTGTTAAAGCCAGACGCACTATTTTAGCCTTCTAGTGAGGCTCAGTGGTAGAACAAAGCTCCTCACACTATTGTGTATCTAAACGTGAGGCCATACAGATCATAACAAGTCCAAAATCAATCATAAAGTCAAGCACTCGATACACTAAACTGCAACAATTACAAAATCTCATGGAATCGTTTTCTGAGTGTACTGTGTGATGTTTCGTGTCCACGAGGGTCTGCTTGGATCCCCGTTGGGCAGAGAGACGGAAATTTGTCATCAGAGACTCTTTCATGGAGACATTACAATGCACAAACTATGCAAGCACGCTTCAGGTGGACTCCATGGAAGTGTAACAGGAATGACTACGAGTCCCAAATGTCTGCAGCTGTCGACACACCAGAATATTATTCTGGTCATACCAAATCAGTAAGGGGTCATCATTGCTGCAAATTACAACATTCCTCTGGGAAACTAATTAGACATTAAGATCTCCTCAGCAACAGTAGACTAGTCAGTTAAACAGGTAAATTCACTATTAATAAAACTATAAAATATCAAACTAA